ATGTATCCTTGGTTATTCCTTGGTTACTTTCTGTTTAGTGATGTATCCTTGGTTATTCCTTGGTTACTCCAGATCTGATTCCTATATAAGCTGGCTTTAGTTCTCAATAAACATGCATGGTACACAAGCCTCTGCATCTCCTGTGTCTTGATTTCTATCCATCGGGGTCCCCAAGCCCTTCAGGCTTGGTTTGTGGTCACTGCACCGTGACAGGACATGCCACCTACAAGTATAGTTCATATCTCAGGTGTTCTAGAACAGATCTGTAAGTTGTGACATACGAATATGATAGCTGTTGGGAGAAGGAGAGGTTGCTTTCTTCAGGGATGAGACATGGGGAAGAGTGACCATGCTCCAGGAGGTCGATCCACATGTAAGAGTATTTGAGGAACACAAACTGAATCAATAGCCAATAGAGGATATGAAGTGAGGTGGGGGAGGATGTGGAAATAGATCTGAGAAGAGATGGGAGAAAGGGTCTGAACCTCATTAAAATTCATTGGATGAATTTCTCAAAGAATCGATAAAAATAGTATTTTTAAATATCAAAAATGTTATTTTTAAAAAAAAAATCTTATCTATAGAAAGTACCAAGGCTGGGGCCACATGGGGATATGTGCAAGTTTAGTCCTTTGCTTTACCTTAGCACATACCACTTTTTTCTCTAACACTTTCCTATTCCAGTGAGTATATTTTTGGATAAATTTAATATAGATGTGCTTGATAAACTATCATTAAAAGTTACTTCAAGCCAGGCATGGTGACGTACGCCTTTGATCTCAGCACTTGGGAGGCAGAGGCAGGCATTTGCTGAATTCGAGGCTAGCCTGGTCTACCTAGTGAGTCCCAGGACAGCTGGGGCTACAGAGAGACCCTGTCTCAAAAAAAGACAAAATAATAATAATAATAATAATAATAATAATAATTCAGCAACATTAAAAAAACTTTGAAGAGATCCACTATTTCTACTTGAATACTATTTTTAAAAATAATTTTTGATATTTTATTTTATCTTTTTAAAATTGTTTGTGTATGAGTGTATTGCCTGTATGTATGTGAGTGCACTTGTGTCATGCAGGGCCACAGAAGTCAGAAGAGGGCTTCGGATTTTGCTGGAACTGGAGTTAAGGACCATTCATAGCTGCCATGTGGGTGCTGGGAATCAAACCCGGGTCCTCTGCAAGAGCAGTCAGTGCTCTTAACCACTGAACCATCTCTCCAGCCCCAAATACTATTTTTAAAAATATTTTATTTTACTATCTTTATTTTATGTGTATGAGAGTATTGCCTGCATGTATGTAAGTGAACCAGTGTTGTATAATGCCTGCAGAGGTCAAAAGAGGGTGTTGGATCCCCTGGAATGGAGCTACAGATGGTTTTTAGTCACCAAGTGTGTTGGGAATTGAACCTGGGTCCTCTGTAAGGGCAGCCAGTGCTCTTAATTGCTGAGTCATCCCCCCAGCCCCTTGGATACTATTTTTTGTTTACCAAATTAATATCCTCTGATTCACCCCAGGAAATTCCAGTAGGTGACAATTATGTTAAATAGGCTTTTAAACATTTTTCTTCTACTTGTTTGTGCAGACATGCAGAGGTGAGTGCACATTAAAAGTCTTTTCACATATATAAAATATTTCATTATTCAAAATGATATTACAGTAATGTATAGCTGTAAACTAACCTCTTTTGATGAACTCATTTCTAAATAGGTCACATAAAACCCAGTCTACTGAATACAACCAGATTTCTTGTTCCACAATCAAATTACAGTTGAATGATGTAATTTCCTTTTGTGAAACATTCAATTAAAAGCAAATTAAACCCATGGGTAATTAAGAGTATTTCATCTGCACTCTTTTGTAATCATGAACACATTTTATTTCTTTCTCCCAGTAGATGAGTATATGTAAGTTCTCAGTCCCGCTGGATATTCAGTGTAATTTTCCAAAAGAAGTGAAGTATAATTAAATTGTTATTTCAAAGGAAGTGAATAATTTGGAGTTGTATTACACATGATCAAAAACCCATTTAAAAATGGCTTTTTTATACAATAACAGTTCCTCAGAGCCTGTCTTCAGTGCTGTGGTAGAGGTGGAAGCATCAACTTACAGAAGTTAATTGTTTAAAGAAAAGTGCAAAAGATTGAGAATGTTTTATTATTTCTTTACTTTTTGAACAGGGATCAGTATATTTTATTCACAGCATATAAATACATACAGGAGACACATGAGGTAGGTATGTTTGCCTTTTTACAGGTAAGGAAACAAGTTTAAAAAGCTCTTTTGATTTTCCTGTGGTTTCATGCATTGTGAGAGGTATAAACTGATACTAGTTTGGCTCCATGGTATTTCTGCACATTACTTTGTCTTTCTGCAGACCACCATATCCCACGTTGGAAACCATTACATCTTTCATACATATATTTTCTTTAAAATTACCAAATTTGCTTCTGAGATGGGTCTTTGTCTAGAAGCCACAGTTGGAGAATTTTGACCCACAGTCCTAATGAAACTCTGACTCAATAGAACTACATAAGTTTGGATAAGAGCACAGTTGCTGATAGCTCTATTTGTAATTTTTCCTAGTCTTCAGACAGAAGTTCTTGAAGAAAAAGTAAATAATTCTAAGGAATGTGTGGGTGTTTAGAGTCATGGGCATCAAGGTTGGTTTCATTTCCTGGCTATTGTGAACAGAACAGCACTGCACATGGATAAACAGGGTCGCTGTTGTAGGATAGAGAGTACTTTGGGCATATCCCAAGACAGGTATGGCTAAATCATCTGGTAGATCCATTTCTAGCTTTTTGAGAAATCTCCACATTAATTTTCATAGTGGCCGCAACTGCTTCTACTACCACCAGCAGTGAATAAGAGCTCCTTTTTCCTCACTTCCTCACCAGCATTTGTCCTATTTGGCTCTTAGCCATTCTGACTGGTGTAAGATGAAATCTTTGAGTAGTTTTAGTTTGCATCTCTTTAAACATTAAAAACATTAAAAAATATTTCTCATCCATCTGCATTTCATCTTTTGATTCTCCCTGTCCTTGTTCATGTGCTGTGTTTTGAATGAAGGGACCCTTATTGTGAAATGCTAATTAGTCTCTCTTTCACTATGATTTGCTGGAAATCCTAGGTTCCCACTTCCATTCTGACCTCTTTAGCCCTTGCATTCTATGCCACTGTACTCAGTTTTTGTTTTCTTAACTCATGGAACATAAGCTTACCTAATGTGAGCTCTCGAATATGTCTGCTCATTTATCTTATGCTAGATAATAACAATACCTAGATGCTTCTTATTGCTGCACATAACCCCATATGCATGCAAAGTTGTGGAGGGAATTCCTGAGCCACTGCACAATGTCTAGGATGTTTATATCATAGAGATAATAAAAATTCTAATTGTCCTTTTCATCTTGAATACAGACAACATCCAGCTCTTGGTATCGATTATTGTAACTAAAGATATGGATTATTTTATTACAATAAGTCACAGAGACACGACATATCATGTCAGCACTACCATTTTGGGCCAAGCAACTATATAGATGAAGATAGTATTTACTAAAATAAGAGAACACTGGGGCAGAGGCACATTTATGATGGACATGGGAGAACCAAGAGTGGATCCTTGCATGAATACTTGTTATTCACAGTTTGTGTTATAAAAAAATCAATGTTGCACTGAATACCTATGCATATATTTCCTGTACACATAGGGAATAGACTTACTTCATGAAATAAGGGTAGGAAACACATGAATGGATCCTAAAGTAACCTGTCATAATACTTCCTGTAATTTGAAAGGGAAAAATTTCAGCTATTCTATAACTAAGGCAAAATTTTCCATTTTTTAAAGATTTAATTATAAGATTATATTTAGGTATATGCATTAATTGCAGAATCATTTCAGCCAATTTACTGTACTCTGGTTCTGGTTTCAATAGGCACCATTAAGTGAATAAATGGAGACTGAAAATGATACATCAGTGAAAGAATTCATTATTTTGGGATTAACAGATAGTCCCACAATACGTACCTTCCTATTTGTGTTTTTCCTACCAGTTTATTTAGTGACGGTGGTGGGAAACATCAGTATAATCCTCTTAATTCGAAGCAGCCCACAGCTTCACACACCCATGTACCTCTTCCTCAGTCATCTAGCCTTTGTGGACATCGGGTACTCCACATCAGTCACACCAGTCATGCTCATCAGTTTCTTAAGAGAAAAAACCAGCATCCCTCTCACTGGCTGTGTATCCCAGCTTGCCTCTGATGTTGCATTTGGGACTACAGAGTGCTTCCTGCTGGCTACCATGGCCTATGACCGCTATGTGGCCATCTGCTCACCCCTGCTCTACTCCACCCAGATGTCCCCTACAATCTGCTTCTTCCTACTTGGGGCTTCCTACTTGGGAGGATGCATGAATGCCTCATCGTTCACTGGGTGTTTTGTGAACCTATCCTTCTGTGGCCCAAATAAAATCAACCATTTTTTCTGTGACCTCTTCCCACTCGTGAAACTTTCTTGTGGTCATGCTTATATTGCTGAAATATCTCCGTCCATCTCTTCTGCATCCGTCCTTGTAAGCACGCTCTCTACCATCATTGTGTCCTATGCGTACATCCTCCACTCAATCATGAAGATGCGCTCTACTGAGGGAAGGAATAAGGCCTTCTCTACCTGCACGTCCCACCTCACTGCAGTCACTTTGTTTTATGGGACGGTCTTGTTTGTATATGTGATGCCCAAGTCTAGCTATTCAGCTGATCAGGTCAAAGTGGCCTCTGTCATCTATACAGTGGTGATCCCCATGCTGAACCCTCTCATCTACAGTCTGAGGAACAAGGAGGTGAAAGAAGCTATGAAAAAATTAATGGCCAGAACACATTGGTTCCCCTGAAGAAAATCAGATAACAATCTACAACTAATAAAGCCAATTATTTGAGGAGTATTTGTGCTTGATATTTTCATGTTATTTATCATTAACTTGAACATTGATATAGTTAAAAACTCCTATAAACACTGAAAGCTGGTGTCTTTTTCTATTTACAAAGTCAACTGTGTCACTTATATGAATATTTGCTGTATTCAAATGAAGTGTGGATTTTTCAAGGTAAGAATACTTTAGAAAATAGCTTATAACTTAAAAACCCTCATTATTTGTTAATTTCACAATGCTATTTAAGTAGATACATTTAAAAATTAAACATCTTTAAATATCATTCAACATAGCAGTTGGGATAAAATTTCCAGGAGATAAGTAACAATTTATACTACTGGAAAATCAGATTAGCTTTTTAAAAGATAATGCCCTTACACGGTGAATGACTATTTTTAACTTTTGGAAACAGTGATGATAGTTTCTCAGAAAAAAGATATTTTCCATTAATTTAATCCAGAGCAAAACTAAATCATGATTCCTCCAGTTGGTCATTGCACGTTCCAAACCAGATAACAAAAGAAACTGAATTAATCTCAGTCAAGAACTGTTGACTGTCATCTGCATGCATATGTATTACATTAGGATTTTGGAAGCAGACATTTCCCTGGGCAAAGATAATGGAACAGTGAGGCTGTCTTTGACCGATAAGATATAGACAGGAAATTATGGTTCAAGCAGAGAATACCGTCTTTTAATCCCTCAAGGCAGTGTCCACAGGTACTGCATACCCTATTTTCCCCTGTGTCGGGACTCAGGTTTGCTTAATGGGGGACCTGCTGGCTTTGGGGCAGAGGGTCTGATGGTGACAGAGTCAAAAACAATGGGACCTGTGTCTTCCCAACAGGATGATTTATTTTAGAATTCAGATGGTTTTTATACATCCAAGGAACTAGCAGTCACGTGGGATATGGCAGTCACATACAAAGATTTAGGGTACAAAGAAACAGGACATTTAGTCTGTTAGTTGGCACCAGAAGGATTCTTAAACTTTTACTCAAGGTTATCAATGCTCATCCAGTAATTTATTTGCCACAATGTGTTCTTTCTTAGAGCTAAAAGCATGGTGAACTTTTAGCTTTTAGCTCAGGAGTAAACCTTTAACCTGGCCTAATCTCTTAGCCAGGGATAGCTGAGTTATTTGTTCAGGACAAGGAGATGAGCTAAGGGTTGTTGACCAAGATGCTTTCCCACAGAAGAGGGAGCCTGCACTTTTATGACTGGGCCGCTTTTTTCTGCCAGCCTAACAGTGTTCTGCAGGATAGGGATTATCAGAGCCACTGTTTTCAGTGCCCCTCCCTTTAGCAGAGAATGCAGCCTGGACCTATAAGTTTTAGGCTCACCTCACCCTAGGGCCTGGCATCCTGGTTTCCTACACCCCTGCAAAGGCACTCTTGATCATTCTGGTGGGCAAGTCTCCCCTCTAGCCCTTCCACAATTATTTTTGATTAATATTTTAGTGAATACATTTTTATTGTTAGCACAGTCATAATGCTGAACCAATCCTGAGACATATGGAGGGGCCGTTTCATGAGCTGACATCTTGTTCTTGGGATCTTCACTGGTCACATCAAGCAAACTACTTTGGAACTTCTCTTGTTATGGTTCTGGAATTTCCTCATTTATACTTCTTTGCTGTCATAATTATGGGCCTGTTCTATCTCCAGTGAATAATTTTGGGACTGAGGTCTGCACAGACATGACCCTTGGCACAGAAGGGACCTCCCAAGGTTTGACCAGCCTAGGAAAAGATTGTTTCTGCATTGTAGTGGGAACCTGCACTCTGATGGCTGAAGATTTTCATTGTCTGTTTCTGGAAATCCTCTTATTTCCCTCCACATGCTGCTCTTCAAGTGTTGACAGCATCTCTATCTCCAAATACAGTCTTCCTTGGAGGACTGATGAACTTCATTCAGCTTTTCCTCAAGACTCTGAAACTCAGTGTGCCTTACTGAATTGACTGTATTCTTTCTCCATTTTCTTTCTCAGTACATGTCAACTCTTTGTGAAATGTCTCAGTTACTTTTTCATTGCTGTGACCAAATACCTGGCAGAAGCAAGTTAAGAGATGAAAGATTTATTTTGGCTCACAGGTCTATCACGGTGGGGAAGCGTGACACCTAGGGTGACTGGTCTATGGTGCTGAAGCTCATATCTTATGATACTGTGGTGGCAGAAAGGAAGCAAGTTTCTTGGACACAACCAGAAACTGATGTCATCTTGAAGGCCTGTTCCCAGTAACCTACTTCTGTCACTGAGTCCACGTCCCCAAGGGTTCAACAAATTTCAAAACACAGGTAAAAATAATAAGAAGGAAGCATACAGACCAGAGGTGTGCAGAGGAAGGGAGAAACACCTTGTTGAAATAAAAGCAAAAGCAATTTCCAGAATGTTTAATGTCATGAAAGATCAAGGAAAATATGTGACATATAAGGCTGGAATGAATCAAATGCATTTGTGCCACACAAATTCAGGTGTGTTATTGTATCTAAGATGGGGGTATTATAGGCCTGGCTTGCTTGCTTTCTCTCTCTCTCTCTCTCCCCTACCTCCATCCCTTTCTGGTGCCAGATATATACACTAATAAATGATCATCTTAAAAAAGAAAAGACAAAAAAGAAAGACTATCAGCAGCAGCACAAATAATTTTAACTATGGTGAGTCAACAAATATGACTCAATGATGATGATAATATTCCCACTGGGAACAATCAGAATTCTTTTTATACAATTTTTATGAGTTCTGCTCATTATGAATTGTGGATTGCTGATTAGAAGGTAGGGGATTCAAACTGGGAAAAGTTGAGATCTTTTCCGGTTTAAAAAATTTCTTTGTACAAATTTCAGAAACTTTCCTTCTCTGAAGAGGACTGATTCTTAGGGGATTATAAGATTTCTCAAGATTTTTGTAAAATACTTATAGCAGAGTGTTGAGGCTCACAAGTACAGAGATGACATGTTACTTCTTGAGGGTGATGAAATCATCATATATCACAACTGGGGTCCTGTTGATAGGAGTGTGTGTATCTGTCAAAATAATCAGTCTATGCTGTGCTCAAAGTTTGTGAACGTATACTTTTCAGTAAAAGTTTGTAAATGACTATACAAGAGAGCTATTTCTTTCCAGCTCTAATTATCCTCGGAAGCCAATATTGATTGTTAATTGTTTCTCAAAACTGCTGCTACCTAGTCTCTTGTGCCTCATCTAGTTTCTTGTTTATTCATTCTGGTTTTGTGTAAGCCATTCCTTTCTTTAATTGACTCTTTCTTCACAGTATTGCTTCTTTTAATTATATTTATTGATGATGAATTTACAGGCTTCTTTTCTGTCAATTTTTTTGCTTTATCCTCAGTTTTGAGAGATATTTTATTTGGGGTAGGATTATTGGTTAGCAGTTAAAATATTTTCACACATGAAATTTCATTGTGTTCTAGTTTCTATAATTGCTTTTTAAAATAGAATTTGTGTTTCATATTCTCTTCGAAATTTTTAACAGAATTACAGGTTTTGATTATTAGCCATTATCAGTTGTCCCTTTCTTCCACTTTTTATTTAATATTGTTTTACACACAACTGGAGTGATCTTTGAAACTGTGGACTAGGGCTGGAGAGCTGGTTCAGTGCTTGAGAGCAGTTGCTGCTCTTTGCAGAGGACACGGTTTGGTTTCCAGCTCCCACATGGCAGCTAACAACTGTTCTCCAGTTCTAGGAGAGCTGACTCTGTCTTCTTGCCTTCACAGCAAGCAAAACACTCACACACATCAAAATAAAAAGAAAATAACTTTGGATCATGGCTCAAGTCTCCTCTTGCTTCACCTGTGACATCTTTTATATTTTTGAAATTATCAGAAACTTTGGACTTATTAATTTACATTTGGCAGACTGAATCCCCGCCCCACCTCCTCCAAATTCCACGTGGACATGGCCCTCTCAGTTTTTGGCTCAAATATCACTTGTTTGTGGGGATTTCCTTGTCACCCTACCTAAGGGGATAACTACTTTATCAAAGCTAACATGCACCAGTCACGTGAGTCCTATTGATTCGGGTTTTCCAAACACTTTGAATTCAAAAATTCACTCCTAGAGGCAGAAGGGAAACTCACAGACTCAGAATATGAGTGAAACATACAAGACAAACAACTTACAATGACTCAGGAGCTCCTGAAGGTGAAAAGATTCACAAAGACCCTTTACAAAGTTGTGTCAGCAAGGAGACAATTGCTAGGGAGAGGATACCCTCCAACAGTGTGAACTTCCCCCATGTCATGCAGGGAACCCCAGGAATGCAGCTTGTGTAATTCATCACCCACACTGGGTTGGACCTCTTGGTGAAACAGCTAATTTTTGTGTTATCTATACACCCCCCCCCCATATTCCTGTAGAGAACCCCAGCAAATTTCTTGATTTGCTAAGCTAGACCTGGGTGGAAGTGGAATAATGTCTTTGGTCTGTCGTCAGTTTTCTATCTTTGTTCACCCCCCTCCACTAGGAGTTACAGTAGTAATTACAAAGCATGTGAATGCTATATGCTGCATTCACGTATGATCTGGTAGGAAACATGGGAAAAGAGAGTTGAGATGGAGTTGGCTTGCTATTTCTTGCAGTCAGCAGGATGAAAGAGAAAAAGAGTTCACATCAGGTCTGTGGTAAAAGCCCTTCCTGGTTTGGAAGCCATGAAAATTGAACAATGAAGAGGAAGAAATCAAAGTAGAAGTGATAAAGAGACCCCTCAGATCCAATCTTTAATTCAGAGGAAAGGAAAATGCATGATTCAAATATTAATAATGGTCTAGGACCAGAAACTCTAGTAACCAGGGACTATTCAGCATCTTAAATGCTTGATTTGGAAGAAAAGGCAACCCTTTAAACAAGCAATGAAAAACTCTCTCACAGCTTGGCTCATGCAACTGTGGGACCCTGGGGTTGACAATCTCAACCTGTGTATGAAAAAAGAGACTTGA